TGACTGCTTAAATAAACTACTTAGGGATTACTACAAGAACCTGGAGCTTTAAGGTTTCGACATAATGGATACTCAAATTGATTTTGCATATTTAGGGGGTTAAGGGTGTCAGGGCGGTATCAATTTTATCAAAACTTTCCCACGTTTTTCTAACATAGCCTGAACAACCTATATACTTTCAGAGAACCATGACATGAATCGAAGCAAAAATTTGTTGGAGGTTAGAATTTTGAAATTTTGAAATTTTTGGGGGAATTGAATAACAAGCGAAAACCACGCATAAAGACTCGACAACACATGCAAAGTCTTTGACATAATGTTAAAAATAGATAAAAATTCCTAGAAGCATGAAATAAAATGTAAAACAATAGAGTTCCTCCCCCACACTTAAACCAAACATTGTCCTCAATGTTTTAGTAAAAGGTGGAAAAGGAAAGATAGAACCTGTATGAATGTTACTGCTCTTGCTATCCTTGTCTTTGTTGATCACTTCTACTTCGGCGGCGGGCATTTTGAGATACTTTTGTTTGTGTAATTCTTGAACTAGCTCATCATGTTGCTCGCGTCAAGAGGAAGTACTCATCATCAGTGTTCCCACCAGCAGCGACACTCGTAGGAATGTCCGTGGGCATAGCTCATCTTCTTAGATCGTCATCTAGAGAGTTTTTGCTTAGATATAGCTAAAGAGTAACAAGCGATACATTTCTTTATTTTCTGCAAATTTAAACAAACAAATTAAAATAAAGACCTTGTGGGTTGCCTCCCACACAACGCTTTGTTTAACGTCGATAGCTCGATGGCCAAGGAGTGCAAGTACTCATGGTGGCTCTTTCGAGAATGGTTCATCGCTCGAACTTTGAATGGTCTTCGGTCTCCATGGCCACTTATCAAGCCATTTCTCATATCCCTCACCTTTTCTTTTCTTTCTTCTATAGGGTGGTTCATTGTTTTGAACTTGTGGTGGTGGTTCTGGATCTATCCTAAGTATCAGTTTTTCAAATTTGGGCTTAGCTATTTCATCCACCACCTCAAAATTTAATCTTACCCTTTTAACAGTAATGATGACCCTAGTTTCATGGTCCTTGAATTTTATTTTGCTATGAAGGTCCTTAGACAAAGGTGCATTAGTGTGGATATTTTCCAATACCTCCACATATGTTTTGGATTTGGAGTTTACCTTAGCTTCCACTGCCCTTTGTGGGAATGAAATAGGTGAGGTATAGGGAAGAGGGGCAACAATAGGTGCTTCCTTCTCTACCTCTTCGACAACCTCCCTTTCGGGTGGTGTCGGTGGATTTTTCTCAATAATTATGCTTGTCTCACCAAAACTCTCCTCAGACTCATCATCACTCTCCCTAGAATCTTCTATTTGTTCTTCATTACTAGTGGTTACAACATTCACATGGCTCTCAAGGAAGGGTCCTAGAGATGTTTGTGTATGCAAAGAGGTTTGAGTCTCCAAAGCCTTGCTGTGAGTCGCAAGGGAATCGACTATAATGCTCATCTGCTTAAGCTCTTCATCAATTTGGAGATGTTGTTTTCTAAAATCTTCATTTTGGAGAGTTTGTATCTCCACAAAGCGCTCCATCATAGATTCTATCCTAGAGTGAGTAAACGTTTCTTCGAATTCTTCTAGTAATAATTCAAGGTTGGATGTATCGAAATCTTGTGTTTCCTCAAAACATTGGGAGTCGTCATCGTAGAGGGAATTTGGGTGAGAATGCGTCGTATTGAAATCTTCTAATAATATTTCGAGGTCCGATTTAAACAGATCTTGTGGTTCCTCGAAATATTAGGGGTGGTAGTTATAAGGGAAATATGGGTTATACATTATGATTTAGGTAAGAGTGTCTTAGTCTATACTATGCAACAACGGAATCACAATATTGACTGTTGGTCTCCGGCAACGGCGACAAAAACTTGATGCGTCCGCAAGTGTACGGAAATATCGAAGTAATATAAAAGATTGTCGAACCCACAGAGACCAATGTCAATCTACCGTTATCTATTGCTACGGTGTAAAGCTAAGGCTAATGGAATTTGGAAAGTTAAATGCGGATGAAATTAAATGCACAAGAAATAAAGATTTTTTTGGTTTAAAGAAATGCGGTAAAGGAATATCGGTATGTAACGCTTTAGCTATCGGGAATTCGGCAGGTTACCGGTGCCTTTTTGTCTATTGCAAACACTTTTCAGGAGAACTTACTCGTTTAAAGACCTTCGTCTCACGATGGTTGTTGACTCGGGTCATAATTCTAAGGGCCGAATGTACGCTTTCGCTGTCCCATTCGGGGTTAAAACTACTTTTTGTAAACAAATAGATTCTAATTTCTTTTAAAGCGCTTTCGCTGTGTCTAAAATCAATGCCTAGTTTTTACTATCTGGTTCTAGCCTCATCTGTCGCTTGTTGGTTCGTACCTTAATATGGTTTCCCACTGTCGTGGCAAAACCACCGTAAATAGCTTCTCACTGTCGTGACAAAGGTTTATTTAGAATTTTGATTAAAAACTACGGCCAGAAAGGTTGTTTGTAAAAAGGGAAGATTCTGGTTACTATCGAATCCTGTCCTACTAATTCGGTTACATACCGATAAAACTAATTTAGCTAGACATGATAATTAATGCAAACGGGAATAAATATAAACAACATAATAATAAAACATGCATTGTGACAGAAATAAAGTAGTAATTCAATTAATAAGAACCTGTAAAGTAGTACTGATATTGAAGAGTAGTCCTCCACAATGTCGGCAGGATTCTACTTTGGCCAATTGGCCAAATAAAATTGCAGAAAGAAATACAAAGCTCTGAACTAAAGGGAAAACGGAAAGGAAATAAAAACAATAAAAATGGGAAAAATGACTTTAATGGAAATTTTGGCAGCACTTCGATACGTCGAAGGCCTCCCCTAAAACTGTGAATCTAAGGCCTATTTATAGGAGATAATTCACTCTTCAACTTCCAGAGATCATGGGTGAGTTATGGAGGGAATGGGAGTAACTTGCAGTAGTGGGCAGTGAGTGGAGAAAGTGTAGGAAGAAATTAAGTTGAGATTGATCGTGGCTGCTTCTGATTTGAACGTACTGATATTTTGTCTGCGTGACGGTCGTCATGAAATGTGACGGTCGTCATACGCATGACGGTCGTAATGGACCTGTGACGACCGTCATATCAGCAAAATCCATTTTTTCTGTTTTTCTTCTCTCTTTTCCTTCCATTTCTTCTTCTTTTCTTTCTTTAATCCAAATTCTCCCCAATCTGCAAAACGAAGTAAATTAATCATATAATAGAACATAAATCAAGATAAATTAATAATATTCACAAATAAATGCATGTAAATCAAGCCAAATAAATGCATGTATAAGATCTTGGCGAAATTTCTATAACACTCATGAAATAATTAGGCACGCGCATGACTTATTAGCGCACCACAACATTAACAACAAGAATTGTGGAGGTGTGAGTGCTAGACCTCTAACATTTCTGATTGATTACTCCTCTTGTTATTCACTCTTCACTCAAGTGAATCAACCATACCTTGGTTGCAATAGTTTGTTGCACGACGATAATGAAAGACGAAAAAAATTAAATTGGGGAAGAAAGAAGTTTAGGGTTTAACGAGAGAAGGAAGAAGAAGAACTTTTGAAATTCTGCAGAGTTTTTCTCTGCTGTCAACTTTGCAATCTGCAATATTCACTTTTTCAAGTTACCTCCCTATTTATAAATTGAGATTGCTTGTAACCCAAGCAATCTCTTAACAAACTAACTTAGCTAAAACACAAATAAAGTTAAGTCTAACGAACATGTCGAAGATACACTTGTTTTGACATCTCGACAGCTATTACAATTCGACACTTAGCATTTCGACATTCCTTGTTTCTGTTAAGCATCATGTTTCGACACAAGAAATTACAAATCAACATTGCGGTGATGTGAAAAGTTTCACGATTTTGGTTGATACAAATGTTGCAAGTTACGATATGAATCATCTTTAAGAGAGCGCAAGGCGGACGCATAACTTCTTTAAAAATTTAGTGTCTTCTTTAAGAGAGCGCAAGGCGGAGTTAGGCTTCAAAATTTTCACAAATAAAATGCACTTAAGTAAGATATCATAAATCTTTGTTAATATTAAAATTTGGATAAATAAAAATATGAAGTGAAATATAATTTACTTCAATTGTTTACTTAAAAATACCTGCAACTAATTTATATTTTCATGCTATCCAAGAAAATTGCAGCAACAACTTTGTCCCCTGAAATGCTCATATTATTATTATTTTGACTCCTTTTCAATGCAGGAATTGAAATATACTGAAAACTTAACCATTTTTTAATCTAAGCAGGAATTGAAATAATTTTTAACAATAACAAATTGTTTTTAATAAATTATTATTATTGATGAAAATGATATGTATTTAAATTTGATAAATAGTGCAACGAAAAGACTTTTCATAGTCACTTTCAAAGGATATCTTAGTCTGAATTTTTATGTATTTGACTACAAAATAACAAGAAAGTTAGTGAACATGAAAAGTCTTCCACTACATTTATTTTACTTCCAAAATTCAACAAATGAACACTTTTGAGCATTAAATTCAATTTTTGCTGAAAGCATCACCCTGGGCAAAACAGACTTGAATTGCAACTAGTGGTGCGGTGCAAGGGTCAATATTTTGGGCCTCACCAACTTAAATATTAAATCCTCTTTGTCTTGATTCACACAACCAAGTAGAAAAACACTGTTTTAAAAATCTACCGTTGCAGTCGTATAAAGATTTTTGCGATAGGACATGAAGGATTAAGGAAAGGAGATAAACCAAGCATTCAAAAATAGAGTCACTTTACACTTAAGTGGTTTACAGAAACATTGAAACTAAGAAGGAAAAGATTAAGTGCTCCCCTACCAAATTGAAAACACTTTACACTTAAGTGGTTTACAGAAACATTGAAACTAAGAAGGAAAAGATTAAGTGCTCCCCTACCAAATTGTACATAAAACACCTAAACTAAATTATGTGGAACAGTACTATTGTTGTTAGAATGAGATTTCTCTACATCTTGGCTTTCAACTTCCTCCTCTTCATTCTCACCTGACATCTCCTCTAAAGATTTTCCTTTTGCCTCAGGTATCAAGAGAGTGCAAAGGAACCCCAACATGTTAACAAAACCCAACACAATCAGTGCATTCTTCACACCGATACCTGCAGGGTACCCTGCATCTGTTTTATTTTTGTCCTTGTTTTGTGCCAAGTACAAGAACCCGAATGCACCTACTATGGCACCAAGCTTCCCCGCTGCGGACGATATTCCATGGCAAGTAGAACGGAATCTAGCAGGAAAAATCTCGGCCGATACAACAAATGTGGTAGCATTAGGTCCAAAATTTGCAAAGAAGAATGTCAAGGAATACATCACGACGAATCCTAATCGGTTTTCCTTATGAGTCCAGTGTTCATAAGGAATGGCAAGAATAAACATGAAGACAGTCATAAAGAAGAATCCCATCAATTGGATGGTATATCTTCCTATCCTGTCGATCAATGCCACGGTGAACCAGTAGCCGGGAACTGTACTGCATAGAGCAATAAGCATTTGAGCTCTTGCAATTTTGTAAACTTCTTCGATAGCATTCATGGTTTTTGCGGGAGGAATCCAACCAACCGAAGTGAAAATATCCTTCTGGAAGAGATTTTGACTATAAAATGCTATATCAAGCAAGAACCAAGTACTTGCCGTAGCAAATAAATGTATTCCATGGCGACGGAGGAACTCTTTCGAGAACAAGCCAAATGGTTTAACCTTTGACGCGTCCTCCTCTTTCACCGGGTCAGCTTCAATATCAACCTGCAGAACCTTAGACATATCTGCTGCAGCCTGTGCAGTATTCTTAGCAACTAAAGCGGTATAACGAGCGGTTTCTGGCATCTTTGTTCGCGAGTAGAAAGTCAATCCAGCCGGGATTGCTCCTACCATGACAATTATCCTCCAAATGTAGTCAGCTTGAGGAACAGTTGAACGAAGTGGATCAACCTCGTACGAAGGAGAATCATAATTGGCCTTGAAGGCAGCTGAAACTATGATCGCAAATAACCCACCTGCCAATATTCCAAAACCCTGCATGGCAAAGACTGCGGCAATGAAGGCACCGCGAGTCTTCTTATTAGAATACTCAGACATTATGGTAGCCGAAAGCGGGTAGTCTCCACCAATACCAAACCCAAGCCAAAACCTAAAAAAGCAAAGAGTTGTAATGACAGATTTTGGAGTATGTCCAAAAGAAAGTCCGGAACCAACCGAGCAGACAACCATCAACAACAGAGTCACGCCATAGACTTTTTTTCTACCCAACTTATCGCCAAGCCAACCAAAGAAAAGCTGTCCCAAAAGTGTTCCAACAAACGCAACACCATTTACCGCCGCTGATACGTTCGGAGGCAACGTCCCCGGCTTCTCTGCACCCTCAACATGGTAATATATCCGGCCAAGCAACTTCGTGACAAGCGACACGCAGAACAAATCATACGCGTCAGTAAAGAACCCCATCCCAGCTATGATGATCGCAGTGAAATGGTACCATTGCGTTTTCGCCGCATCAAGTGCTTTCAGCACCTGAATTTGATCCTTGGCCATCACTTTTCAAATCCAAAACAGCAAGATTAGTTCCTACAAAAATGAAACCAAAACTCATAATCAATAAAAATATATTAAAAGATTCTCTAATCTGTGATAGAGAACAAGAACCTGATAGTGCAAGAAGATATCAGAAATGAATGAGCAAAGAGAGGATAATGTAAAGAACCTGATAGTATAACAGAAATGAATGAGAAAAGAATATTTTTGAGTGAGGAAAATAGGTTGAGATATGAATGAGAATTTATAGGCAATACCAGAATATTCAAATATTCCAAAGCGTATACTCCTACTTCTAATGAGTTTGAGCTTAACTCAGTCAAACTGAATGAGAATTTATAGGCAATAACAGAAAGTAAAATAATCAAATATTCCAAAGGGTATACTCCTCCTTCTGAATGCCTTTGAGCTTAACTCAGTCAAACTTTGTGAGTGAGAAAAATAGGTGGAGATATCAACTATACAAACCTAAGCAACGGTTATTTATTTTTTTTATTATTAAAATAATTATTTAGCCGTTGTGCAACAGCTTTATTTATTTATTTTTTTAATTTTTTTTATTTATTATAAATATAGGTTTGTTGGAAAAATTGTATAACAATCCTATTTTCTCTCACTTTGATTGATTCTTTAATTTAAAATTTCTTTCTTACAATTTTATCATTTTATTTATAAATATTTAATTTTTTTCCAACAATTTCTTCTCATTATCATTTTATTGTTTTTAATTATGTGACATGTATTTAAATTTAATTTTAATTATTATTTTCAATTTTATGTTTAATTTTAAGTTTATGTTTAATTTGTATTTATATTAATTTAAATTTAAATATTTAAATTATAAATATTAATTTTAAATATTAGTTTTAAGTTTATGTTTAAGTTTATGTTTAATTTTAAATATTAATTTGTATTTATATTAATTAAAATTTAATTATTATTTTCAATTTAAATGTTTAATTTTAACTCAGTCAAGCTTTTCATTCTTCTAGTTATTACGACGCGGTTCCTTCCTCGAACCTCTACGGATTTATTGTGATCTTGTTTTTTTTTTCCTGTTGTAACATGTGTATGTATTTTGTTGAGTATAGTATTGCATAGTATAATATACTCTTACTTTTTCATTCAAAGTTAATATTCATTTGAGTTTGAAATTTTTATATTTCTTTCACACACGCAAACATAAACATTTTTCATCTTGATTTTTTTTTGGTTAACTAACTGTGTTCCCATTACATTTGTAGTACAGAAACGTGTCAGAAGTATCAACTTATTTAAGATCTTTGAATTAAATTACAGAAATTAATAAAGTTGATTAGAATATTAATATTTTTTTAATAATTTATATAATTTTATGATTTTTCTTTTAAAGAGAAAATTAATTACTATTTGTTAAAGTGTATTTAGTTATATAATTAAGCGTATACTCCTCTTTCTAATGAGTTTGAGCTTAACTCAGTCAAACTTTGTGAGTGAAGAAAATAGGTGGGGATATGAATGAGAATTTATAGGCAATAACATAAAGTAAAATAATCAAATATTCCAAAGGGTATACTCCTCCTTCTAATGCTTTGAGCTTAACTCAGTCAAACTTTGGGATTGAGAAAAATAGGTGGAGATATCAACGATACAAACCTAAGCAACGGTTCTTTATTTTTTTTATTATTAAAATAATTATTTAGCCGTTGTGCAACGACTTTATTTTTTTTTATAATTTTTTTAATTTATTATAAATATAGGTTTGTTGGAAAAATTGTATACCAATCCTATTTTCTCTCACTTTTATTTATTCTTTAATTTTAATTTTATGTTTAATTTGTATTTATATTAATTAAAATTTAAATATTTAAATTATAATTTTAAATAAAATAAATTTAATATAAATAATATATTTTAAGTAAAATGGTGGGATCCAATATGGATTCTTTGGAGTTGCACCATTGGAGTAAAAATTGAATGAGTTGCTTTAAAAGATTGGGTCCCACAAAAAACCTAAAAAAAGGTTGCACCATTGTGCGTTTGAGCTTAACTCAGTCAAGCTTTTCATTCTTCTAGTTATTCCAAAGCGTATACTCTTACTTCTAATGAGTTTGAGCTTAACTCAGTCAAATTTTGTGAGTGAAGAAAATAGGTGGGAATATGAATGAGAATTTATAGGCAATAACAGAAAGAAAAATAATCAGATATTCCAAACGGTATACTCCTCCTTCTAAATGCCTTTGAGCTTAACTCAGTCAAACTTTGTGAGTGAGAAAAATAGGTGGAGATATCAACTATACAAACCTAAACAACGGTTATTTATTTTTTTTATTATTAAAATAATTATTTAGCCGTTGTGCAACAACTTTATTTTTTTATTTTTTTTATTTTTTTTATTTATTATAAATATAGGTTTGTTGGAAAAATTGTATAACAATCATATTTTCTCTCACTTGATTTATTCTTTAATTTAAAATTTCTCTCTTACAATTTTATCATTTTATTTATAAATATTTAATTTTTTTTCAACAATTTCTTCTCATTATCATTTTATTGTTTTTAATTATGTGACATGTATTTAAATTTAATTTTAATTATTATTTTCAATTTTATGTTTAATTTTAAGTTTATGTTTAATTTGTATTTATATTAATTAAAATTTAAATATTTAAATTATAAATATTAATTTTAAATATTAATTTTAAGTTTATGTTTAATTTTAAATATTAATTTGTATTTATATTAATTAAAATTTAATTATTATTTTCAATTTAAATGTTTAATTTTAACTCAGTCAAGCTTTTCATTCTTCTAGTTATTACGACCCGGTTCCTTCCTCGAACCTCTACGGATTTATTGTGATCTTTTTTTTTTTGTTGTAACATGTGTATGTATTTTGTTGAGTATAGTATTGTATAGTATAATATACTCTTACTTTTTCATTCAAAGTTAATATTCATTTGAGTTTGAAATTTTTATATTTCTTTCACACACGCAAACATAAACATTTTTCATCTTGATTTTCTTTTTGGTTAACTAACTGTGTTCCCATTACATTTGTAGTACAGAAACCCATTACATTTGTAGTACAAAAACGTGTCAGAATGAGTATCAACTTATTTAAGATCTTTGAATTAAATTACAGAAATTAATAAAGTTGATTAGAATATTAATTTTTTTAATAATTTATATAATTTTATGATTTTTCTTTTAAAGAGAAAATTAATTACTATTTGTTAAAGTGTATTTAGTTATATAATTAAGTGTATATGTGAATAAATAACTCATTAATTCAATTTAAAATTTGAAAATATTCACCTAAAATGAGACAAAAAAACTCAAGAATTTCTATAATTAAAAATGGAGATAGTATTCAATTATATCTAACAATATTCAACTTTATAAATGATAAGTATAATATTTAATAGGTTAACTTCAATAGAATTCTAACACCCTTGTTGAGCAACAGACATGACTCTCAAACATTTTTTGGTCCACAATTGTATAGGCACATAGTTGTTTTTCTCCAATACGTGACACTAACCGAGATATGTGTTGTTTTTAGTGTGAATATGACTTTTTAATTTATGTCACTTTCTCTTGATACTCATTGGAATGTACGACTACGAGAGTTAGTTATTGAATACTCAAACTTATTAAAGTTTGTCAAACTTCTGTTGATATTAGTTATAATTCTGTTGAGCATATTTAAAATTTTGTTAACCCTTAAATTTCTGTTAAGCTACTGTTAACTTGTTAACTGATTTGGGTATTAGCACATGCGATATCAATTTGATATCAATTGTAACGCAAGTTTGGATACAATGGAATAATAAAAGATTCATTATTCCAAGTGAAAATTGAGCTCATTGTTGTGAGATAATCCAACATGATGTAATATAGGAGTTAGAGTTAGTTAGTAGGTTGTTAGTTGGTTACTTCCAATACAAGTAATCTCCTTATAGTATAAAAATGTATGTTGATTGATACAATATTGTATTGACTCACTCTATTAGTTCTTTGATTGATACATTGTATTGACTCTCTCTATTATCTCTTTCTTTCAATCAAAGTGCAATTGTAATTGAATTACCATAATGGTATCCAAAGCTCTTTAGTTTTTAGGAAGATATTGCAGTTATAGGGTGCTAACTTGCACTTTTTTCAATGATGAATGGAAGCAATTTCATTCTAGTTTCTCTTCCCGTTCTTGACGGAAGGAAATAAGATTGTTGGAACAAGCAGATGAAATCTCTATTTGGATTTTTAGAAACTCTCGAGGTAGTTACCAATGACGTGTTGGAGCTTCTTGTGAATGCAACTGAAGCTCAGCGCGACCTTGACAAACACTACCAAAAAATATTGTACGACATCGTATTGCATCCAATATGCAGTTGATGGTGAAAATTTTGATCAAATTGTCCATGCCGAGTCTGCAAAAGAGGCTACGAAGGAGGTGATAAGGTCTAAAGCGCGAAGTTACAGTCTTTGTGCAGGCAATATGAATTACTGTAGATGGGAGAAATGAAGAAGGTTGCGCATATGTGTGTAAGGTACAAAACCTTGTTAACTTGATGAAAGGTTGTGGAAAGACTATGACAGATAAGAAGATCGTTGACAAGGGGATGTGAACCTTGACCTCTCATTTTGAGCATGTTATCATGGTCATTCAAGAATCTAGTGCTTCTTCAACAATGAAGTTGGAAGATTTAGTTGGTTCATTAGAAGCAAATGCGACGCGTATTGCTGAAAGAAGAGGAGTTCAAGAAACCGTTCAGGTTTTGCAGGCTCAAACCTAGAAGAAGCATGGTGGAAGTGGAACATTCAAAGGAAAATTTGACAAAAACAATTCCATGAAATGTCTGTGGCATCATTCTCAGAAGCAGAAAGTGATGAAAATCCAGAATCTTCTAAAAGAGGAAGGACTTTTCATCATAAATAAAAGGTTGATGAGAAGACTGTGCAATGTTTCAAATGTTAGAAACGGAGTCACATGGCAAGGGATTGTTGATATAAGAAAG